TATTTTGAAATACTGGATCTTGGATATATGTAATCTTTCTGTATAGCTTTTGATGTATTTAAATGTTGTGTTTTACAATAATCACAATATTCAGAAAAACTATGGAAAGAGTAGTGGATTTCTTCAAAGGTATCTGCTGTATCCCAATTTTAATTTGGATTTTCTTTAGACTTTCCCAGATCCAATATAGTCATAACAGTTTCTTCACCAGCAATAGGACCTTACATGGTTTTCCACAAGCATTTAGGAGACATGTATTTACTGAACAGTGCCACAAGAATATATAACTGAGGCAGAGACCCCAACCTGTGTAGAACCAGCAAATGAAATTCTGGAGCTATTCCAAAGGAGAAGAAGGCCACTAAAAAGAAACAAGGCCTTCAGACAGACCTACATGGCAGAAAAATATGAAGAGATCAGGGTATAAGCCTATGAAATTGAGAAACTGGATAAAGACAGGTTTTGTCATAGGCCAATTTGAAAGTACCAGAGATTGCAAACTGAACCTATTAGTGATCATTTTACAAAGCCTGGAACTAACAGAAGCTAAACCGTTTCTCATTTGCATGCCTGTGGCATGAAGCCTCAAAAATACTGTGCCATGTCCTAAAGCAAGTGTTAAACGGAATATAAAAAACTATTTAAGTAACCAGTAGTTTACAGCTGCTGTGCATCTGTGAATTCTGTACTTGTCATTAACAGTGGCAGGTAAATTTAGGAAGGACTAAAACATACCAGAAAAGACAAACTTGATATCTTTTGTTAACAGGAGTACTGGTGTTAATAATTTTTCTGCTATATATCTTAATGCCTTCACATTTATCATGTCTGCATTTGAAAATTACAGGCTTAGAACTCAAGCTGTGCAAATGTTGAACTAATGTCACATTGTACACAAGATGTATGCTGGGATGAGAACTCAGAAGGTCCTGAATCCTTCTCTTAATGATCATCAACTGGATCTAGCTATAGAGTTTGATTAACACTTCATTCAAATTTATAGGAAGTATTTCTTTCATCACAATGAAGTTCAAAATGTTTCATTTCTAGCAATGCCTGTTTTAACACCAAACATTTTTACTGGAGAAGAGCAGAAATCGAAGACATATGAAGAGTATGATACTGAAAATGAACAGATTAAAGTTGTACTTCTGCAGATTTTTTCCCTCCTTCTGAATTGCCTGTGGTTTTATTCCAAACTATTCTTAAACACAATATCTAAAGATTAAAAATAATACCTCTGAGAATAAAAGATCACAATTTGCTTTGATATTTCAACTTTAACACTATCCATTATAATTTTTACTACAGTTTGGTTACACAAATCACCAAAAGCACTAAATAATTATCTGAGAATTCCTAACCTTAACAAAACTTAGCTTAACACACTTACTTTCTGGGACCTCCACTTCACCTAGTGGTTGGACAACTGGAGCATTGTCATTAACATCTAACACTTGTATCCTCACAATACTTGTAGCAGAGAGTCTGGGGTTTCCTTTATCAGCAGCTTGTACAACCAACCTACAATTAAAGGAGGCACTAATTGTCACTTTTGATCAGAAATCACTAAATTATACACCACTATTATAAGCAGGGGAAGTTTTAAATCCAAAAAGATTAGCCATTTCTGTTCCATATTGCAACTCATAAATTCCACCTCTCTTTCTGTAAGGTTGACTGTGCACAGTTTTACTTTTTGGTTTTGCAGGAAAGATGTCCAAGAGATTCCACACGACAAAAGAAGTAAAATCATACAAAGAAAAGGAAGTGTTCATCTGTACCCATTTCATACAATTTCATACCAAATGTAAGGGGTTAAACAACTCTTTCAAATAAGAGACAGTTCTTCCATTGGTAATTCAGAGCAGGAATTAAAACCTAAGTATTAAATTATCATTTCCAGGAGCCTGACTCTCCTCATTGTTTATAAAGGGACAAAAGGGATGTGGACATCAGAAAACACAAAAACATTCAAAATGGTATTCAACCAGAATGCCTGCAGACACAGAGTAGCCTTTCTATTACATTATAAATGCGAGTGATAAAGTGAAAATCCTGAATACATATGCCATTGGACAATTGCAAAGTTCCCACTGATTTTAGTGGGATTAGAATCTTGCTGTCAGATTAGATGAGTTTTGACTGTACATTTCCATTTCACATCTGCATAAGGATGGGTTGTAAATTCTGTAAACAACCTTTTCATTTCCACAAACAATGTAGCAAAGAAAATGGTAAGCAGCAACATGATAAACATGGATAAAAGTTTTACTCTTCATGGGAAGCAGCTTCTGAATGATAAAAAGCAAATGTAAGCTAAGATTATTTGGAAGGCTTTACCACTTTCCAGTAGGGAAGATTCCAGACAGGAATTCAAAATTAAATCTAACTCAACAGGTGATCTTAAAAAAAAAAAAAAGGAAACGAAACAATGAGCTATGCTAAAGGATATACAGGTCAAAGCTGAGCATCTCAATTAAATGGTTTATGTACTAACAACTGTTTTCATGTTGCACCATATTTTTTTTTGCCTCCTTGAAGATCTTCTAAGCACATTATTTCTCCCTCTTTCTTCTAAGCAACAGTTTAAAAGTGTCAAATAGATATTACTTCCTAAATATTCACTTGCCAGTATGGAATACTAAGTCTGTAACTCAAGCTGTGGCTTGCAGCATTTCCATTCCCTAACCACACCAGTTCTACTCTGGGTATTTTTGTGGTTTCTGATCCAACAGAAGACTAGTTAATTTGCAGGTTAGTATTCAATCAATGGCCATGCATAATTCCATATAGAAAGTGTTTTTTTTTCTAGAATTAATATTGGTAAGGTATACATATGGAAATATTTTATTAAAAATAATCACTTTCTAAAACCCTCTCATAAAAACATTTTGGCTAAGGCATTAAAATTAAGGTTCTGTCAACACTTTTATTATAAGCCCTGTTGTAAGGGACTTAGAACTTCTGGGGATGAAAATGTTCAATTCATGTATATAAACAATTCCTTGCCAATTGGAAAAAACCAACAATAACATTTTGACATCAAACAGGAAAATAGTTTTGAAAGCTTCTTTTGCTATTCATTTTTCACCAAGCAATGTACAGATTAATAACTTATTTTAGAGAGAAGGAATATGAAGCTACAGATTCCCTGAACAAACTGTAAAACTGAAAGTCTAGAATTCAAACATAGATATTGAAATAAATCAGGCTCCAGGTTAAAGAGAGATATGAGAATTATTGTGATCCCGTGTTCAACATTTCATAAACAGCAAACATCCTTCATTTGAAGAACTTATTCCAGGGGATTTTAAAAGTACTAGTTACAAATAAAATGTTCTATGCTATTTAAATTGTTGAAAATCAGAATTGATGTTTTTGATTCAGTGAAAAACTGAAAAAAACCTCCAAATTAAGTGTCCTATGTATTAAGTTAAAACAAAGTATTTTGGAGACATCATTATCAAATCAGCCTGATATTAAAAAACCATCACATACTCTGTCAATCTTCTTGGATGTGGTTTTGTACAAGTTATTCTCATTCATAAGAATTCTCATTGGATGTTCAAAACTTTGAGGTTTCACAGGACAGGAAAACTTGCAAATTGTTTAACTAATACCACAACCAGATGGAAAAAATTACCAAAAAAAAGACATTTTTGTGGCAATTGCAGTACTTAAAATGGGTCTATTAATGAATCTGCATAGTCATATTTTCTTTTCAAGGCATTATTTATTTGCTTTCTGATTCCAACTATGGCATGACCCATAAAGAAAAATTGTCATGTCCACTTGACCATATTTATTCAGAGTTTCTAAAAAACAGGAAAAAAATAATACTTAGTGCAAGACAGGTTACAGATGGAAACAGTTTAATAGAGTCTTTATCACATTATTGAGTAGAAACTTCGAACTATCTACCAATTAAAAATGAGAACATATCCCTAGTTCTTGGATTGAGTGTTTTCACTGTGTCTTTATAAAGAACATTTCCTGAGAGGGAATAGCTGTACAGTTATTAATGAACTAAAATCCAGGAACTGACATTGTTCCTATAGTGAATAATCACGCTTATATCAATAAGAGCTGTCATTGATTAAACTAGACTATATTTCTTTCTCTAAGTTTCATAAGTACACAAGAATCTATAGTACAAATGGGCAGCTTTAGTGCTGTTCTCAGTGCTGTCTGGCTTGCATCCAGGTTCTGTGGGTAATGGATATCAACAGGAAACTATGAAATGTGTAACATGAATATTCTCAAGTTAAACTGGACAAAAAGAATATATTTTTATGGGAAGCTTACATACAAACCTGTAAGATGAAGTGTTTTCATAATCCAGGCCTGTATTAGTTGATAGAATTCCTCGCGCTGAATCAATTAGAAATGTTGCATTTTCATTACCAGATAAAACGGAATATTCAATTTCTCCATTCAGCCCACTGTCAAGGTCAGTTGCAAATACCTGTTTGTGAGCAAATCTGAGGCTTAATTAAAAACAGCAGATTGTGATTCTGTAAGAAAACCCTTATATTAGTCAGATATTTCTGATTATTTTCCTTTCGAATGCACATATTTAAATAAATCATCATCATCACTGTTCCCAGCTTGAGTGTTGTGTAAGGTCGCAAATTCTGTTCATGAACTGCAATGGGCTGCACATGAAAGAATAATTTGAAATTCAGCTACATAAAGCATTAGGGCTGAATAATCATTTTACTATTAGGTTGCTGTTAGAATGCTCTCCCTGTTGAGTACATAAAAATGCACTTTCTCAGTGGTACAGCACTGAACTTTAAAGTATTGCTGCTATACAAACAGACAAAGGATAAAATAATTAAACTACTAGGCTTTCAGAGCTTTCATGGAATAGTTCATTAATTACCTTTTAAAAATAACAACCAGAAAATGTAAAAAGGGCAGAGACAATCTGTAAAGATTTGCCAACAAAATAAGGAATATTCATCAGCAGTGAACATGTTTCTCAAGGAGTCCTCTTACTCTTCGAAGAGTCCTCTTTGTATTTTTTTGGTTGCTGAACAAGTATTATCATCAGTCTGGGATTCAAAACGTAGCAGAGGCTAATCAACCAGTCAGATTGAATAAAGGAAACATAATAGAATGTATTCTGTCATAAAATTTTGATTACACATCTGGCTTGACTGCCTTCTGATTTTTCTCCATTCCTGGACATGTTTCTCTAAATACAATTTCCATCAGTTTCTAATCACTTTGCCCTGGAGGCATTTGTAGCTTTTCATTTATTTATTCTCTAGAGAGGGAATATCTTTTGTACCTAACATGACCCTCACTGTGACCTGACTTGCAATGCAAGAACATGTACTGAGGAAATTACATGTTCTTCTAGTCCAGCTGATGTCTTCTTTTGCTCTAACACCACCAGCTGGAAACATTTTGGGAGAACAGACTCATTCACAGGAAGAAGTGTTTGCACATTTAAATTAAGATAATTAATAAGCTGTTCTTTAGGCATCAGATTTTAAATTGGACACTTGGGTTAGACTCTACTAGTCTGATGAGTAGAAAGTATTCTTTTTATTGTTACAGTCCTTTCAGTAGAGGCATTAATACAAGACCCAGCCTATATTGTAACCAGAACCACAGATTTGAATGGCATTTTCCAATTGCTTGAAGATAGAAATAGAATTAAAAAAAAAAAAAGATCATTTAAATTCCAGGTACAGAGATATTAAGACACAGAATTATCTTTCAACTTTACAGACCTGAATTAATTATCTCATCTGAAATGTGGTCTAGGAAAAAAAAATAATTTCATATTTTAGATACCCAAGCAGAGTAGTAGCAACACCAAGAACCCCACTTCCAGTTTTTAAGACAGAGTGGGCCAGAACAGACCTAGCAGGATTGTAGTGATGGACAGATCAGCCAAACATCTTTTTAACTACAGCAGTGTGCTTGGGAAGATATACTTCCACTTACCTGTATGATGTCTGTTTTAGGACTCTGGCCTTCCCATACTGATGCTTTGTAATAGCTTTGCTCAAATTTCGGTCCATTGTCATTCACATCTTGAATCAAAATTGTGACTCCACAGAACACTGAATTGAAGCTATTTTCAGCCATAACTCTAAGCTGTATTTTACACTTAACTTCACAATCAAGGTAGTTTTGCTCTTTTACTGTGATTGTGCCTGGTTTATTACAAGAAAAAAAATCTCAAGATGTGACACACTCATTCAGGAAAAGACATGTACAAATGCAGTTATGAAATTCCTAACATATATGGTCACCTCCATTGAACACGACAGAATTCCAGTAAGCTCACCATTGTGTCCTTTTTCTACCTACCATCACCCCAACATGCTAGTTACTGAATAAATCTTGGAGGGCTAAATTTTCACCAACCACAACTACACTGGCAATTTCCTAAAACTAAGCCAATTTACTAGCAGAGGAATAGAGAAAAAGTGTCTGCATGATGTTTCCTCCTCAGCACATGACAGTGAGACAGCCATGCTGGAAGAGACTCTTGTCCCTCATCTGACAGTGGCTACATCAACCCCTCCATCAAAATCCACATCAGGCAACAGCTGCAGCAATTTCTCTATCTGACTGACACACAGACAAAACACTCACTCCTTCTGATGCAGAGAGCCCCCCTCCCCTGGGCTGCTATTCTATCAAAAATAAACAAATAATGAGACTTATTGAGATGACACAACTGGCCACCTCCAGATTAAACATGAAATGTCCTTGGAAATCCATAGTAATTGTTTCAATGTTCTAGGAACATACTCATAATTGTCCATTACATCTAAGCATACAACATATGCACAATAACTACTGTTTATGGACCTGTGTGTTGAAGATAAAGATTTCAAAGGTGTTTTATTTTCAGCACAACACTTAAAACATCACATTCTGCTTACTGAGAGAAGAAAACAGACAGTGGCAGAAGAAATACACTTCCAGATGGCAGAGAGCAAACTGAAAGTCTCTAGTGTAGAGTGAAACAAATAATCAAGTTTGAGGTACATCACCTAGGAGGAACATGTGAAAAAACCAGAGCTGCTCGTTCTTAAGAAGTGCACTTGAAGAAAAAACAGGGTAACAGTCTTCAAATATGCAAATTATAGGGGGGTTGCCTTTGTCTTGTCTACTCTTACTAGATTAAGAAATAATAACTCTAAAATATTTCAGCAAACATTCAGATAAATATGAATAAAAACTTTCCCACTGCCAAGATATTCACAGACTTTTGAGAAGATTTGCAGAATCACTGTCCCTGATGGTTTTTAAGGACAGTACAAATTTCTGTCAGATTTTGGCACAATTGATTCCCTCCTGCATTGGAGGACAGACTAGTCATGTCATTGAGTCATCTCCTACTCGACTTTAATAATAAAAAATTATAGCGGTAGAAAGTCTTCTCCAAAGTGTGGTTAATTAACATCAGTGCTCGAAAAGGCAAGTAGAGCTGACCTTTGGCTGTTCAGAACATGTATTACAGGCAGGGCACTGATAGGGCTCAAAATACTTCTGCTGTAGAAGCATGGGTGTCAATTACTGGTGTCAAAATTATGCTAATGTAAGCACTGCTCTTAAAAAGTCCTTAAAGGCTGAAGTTCAATTAATGTTTTCTAAGAAACAGAAGAAAGGCTTCAGAGGAAAGGAAAGAGAAGAAACCACAATGGATCAAATGTCTCAAAAGAGGACTTGTGACATGCTCACTGCTATAGAAATTCCACTCCTGTTTGTGAAGACAGCACTTATGACACTCTTCAAAGCATCATGCAAGCATTTTTAACCCTAGATTGATAAAAAAAATAAAATCCCATTTGAATTTGGGTTTTTTTTTAAGGTGATATTGGAGAAGATTCACTTCCTCAGCAAAAAACCTGTCTAGGATGCTTTAAAAGGCCAATCTCTTTAGTTTTATTTCAGTGAAATAAGAAGAACTTGAAAATTCAAAGTATGCACTTCAAGTGCCCTCATCTAAAAAAATTATTTTAGTGGTATACCATTTGATACCTGGAGACATCAGGATAATCAGATGTTAAAGCCTTCAGAAACTCAGGCATAAAGCTATTTATTAAGGGTACAAAACTATTTACACTGTTTCTGAAGAAAACTGCTTGCACTATCTATATGCCATCCCAAAAACAGAGTCTGCAGCTATTCAGAAGGCAAATTTATTTCAGACGTTTAGGAGCTGAGAGGTAACCAGAGTAGCTGTGCTCTTTTACAAGCATTAGAGGACAACACGTAAATGCACACAAGGAACACCCCACTCTCCTGCACCTGGAATTCCTGACTGAAGAGCAGGTGAAAGCAGAACTGCTGCAGAACACAAATACAATCACAAAAAAAACCCAAAACAACAACAACAAAAACAAAAGAACCCAAACAAAAGTAAACAAACAAAAGAAAACCCCAAAACAGACTTGACGTTAAAACGTGTTGAGGTTTGCCTGAAACAAAAAGCATTAAAATCAACAAGAGTCTAATGCATCTACATTAGAAGTGTTCGGAAGGATTTTATTTATTGAGTTTTTGTGAAACTATATGATGAGAAGCAAGATGGAATCTCACCTTGGATCACAAAGCAGTAGTTTGTCAACTCCCAACACTGGTGATTAACGGTAAATCAGAACTGAGTGTTTAAAACAAGTATACTGGTGTTCAATTTCTTTTTACCTCAAGTTTATGACAGTGCCTGGATTTACTAATGACCTGCTCATTGTAACAGAATTATTAATAGAGAGTACTCTCAAGATATCTAGTCCTTGTCCTTGTGGTAGGAACATTCTAGTGCTCCAAAGTACACACACAGACACTTGAAAAAATTATAAAATGTACCTGTAACAGGGTGTATGGAGAATATTTCCTGGTCACTGAATATGCTGTATTTTATGTCTTCTCCTGTAAATTTGTGTTCATAGGCTTCTACTGTTAGAAGTGATTTACCTATGGAAGCAATAAGACATTTTCATCATGTCCACCACAGAAGGTTTTCTCTAATTTTATACTATTGGTATTAATAACAAATGGACAACTATGTACTAGGTTAGGTGCTCATTCATTAGCTTAGTAGACAACAATTCTCCATGATTTTTCCTATATTACAAATTCATAGACAAAGAACTGTATGTCCCTCCTTCCTCAGTAAATTACACATCTGTTAAGAATTTTATCTGCCTAAATATAATTATGAAATATAACTTTTCCTAATTGCAAACTTATAGGAATCACTGGAATCCTCTCTTACTTGAAGTCATATCTAATTTTTTTGATTTTTGGTGTATTATGTCACTCACAAATGAACAGAAAGAGTTTATTTTTTTCTCCATCTATCATGATTTAATTCATGTTTTTGAATAAAACCTTAAATTAAATATCCTTCAGAATTCGCCACCTTTTGACAAAGAAAAAGAAAAGATAAAACTATGTGCATAGCTATGTGTCAATTCACATAGAATCCAAATTCCATAAAAAGACCAATAATTTAATATAGAATGCAGGAGATATGAAATAAAAATCCTGTTTGGAATAAAATAAAAGGGAAAATGTGGAACTCAATAAATGCTCAGAATCATAACATTTAAGAAAAATATAGTAAGTTGTGATGGGTTATTTGGGAAGAAGAAACTCAGACGTTCTCTCTAAGGGAGCTTCCTCTGTGGGGACATTGGGACAACTTCAACAGCCAATTAGAGAAAGTCAGTTCGCTCCGTGAACACACATTGCAAAGGAGGTAATCCGGAATTGAGCCTTTTTGTCTTTCCGGTGGCTGAGCAGGTAACACCAACCCGAGCTCCCCCCCATGAAGGGGGGAGGCTCGGGAGGCCGCTTGGGCCCCGTTTGCAGACTAGGGGACTCGATGGCCCGGAGGGGAAGAGGCTCGTTGATAAGACCTTCATGGCTTCCTCCTCCATGGGCCTGCGGCTCGGGGGGGGGCCTGGTTCCTGCTGCTGGCTCGGAGCAGTTTTGGAAGGGCCAGGCCGGCCCAGCCCCCACGCGGCCTGGGGGAGGCAGCCGGGCCCTGTCTGGAAGCAGGGGTGACCACGGGCAGTGGGGGCTGCAGCCCAGCCCCAGAAAGGCTGATTGACACCTCAGCCACCCCCCCCCCAACCCAGCGCAGTCTGGGCCTGGCCCAACTCTTGTAGTTGTGTTAAACTTTAACTCTTTAGTGCTCAGATAAAATTTGCAACACCTCCGGACTTCCTTTGAATATGAAAGGGAATAAGGAGATATTCTGAAGTCAGTGAAGCAAGAGCTAAGTTTTTTTAGATGGAAGGAGAATGAGGAGATGCTGTCAAGATGGCTGAAAACCCTTTTGTAAGATTGTAGGGATGAACTGATGTACTGAATACTCCTATAAACCGTGGAGAAAGACATGGGGGGTTGGAGATGTTCCATTTGATAGATGATTTGACCAAAAAGCACCTGTGTTGAGAACCTTTGCCCTGAGGAAAGAAAGGAATCTCAGTTTTCTGAGGATAAAGCATGAACAGAGAGAAAAGAGATGAAGAGAACCTTTGCTGTGGAACATTTCATTCTTAAAAGTAATACCCCATGAGAAAGACATGGCTCACATCTACAGCTCTGGGAAGGCTATGGAGTTGGGAGGAGCGTCACGATTGCAGGTCCGGACGGATGCAAATCGTGAAAATGAAACCACGAGAGGACTGTTTTCTTCCTTCTTGTGAAAAATCCCTACAGCTTCAACAAGAGGAGGCTTCTCTCTCTGGAAGTGAACTGAAAAAGACTGAGTTGGGAACTGACCAAAGTAGTTGTTGTATGTTTGTTTTGTTGTTATGAAGGATGGGAGAGGGAAGGAAAGAGTGGTCTGAAAAAAAATCTTATTCTAAATTTGTTTTTTTCCTTTGTTTGTGTAGTCAATAAATTTCTTTTTTTATATACTCTATTAATAAGCCTGCCTTGCTTTTATGCTCCTAGTTCTGTCTCACAACGAAAAATGAGTATATTTAAATTGGCAAATCAAAACTAAAACATTATTTGGTGCATTGGCCGGAAAACAAAATTAAACCAAGACATTTTTTGAAGAAATTAAATTAAACCAAGACATAAGTTTAAAAAGCTTTATCAAAACCTCCAAATAATTATTATTTTCAAGTGACTTAGGATATTGTCTAGCATATATGGACATTGATTTTAATTTTTTTAATTATTTAATTAAATAGTAATTGATTCCATGCAGCTGCGATGGAATGAGGCAACCTGAGCTCCTTCAAACAGCACAAGAGGCAACTAGTTATTTTATTATATCACAAAGGACATACTGCTCACACTCTGTCCTGGATGCCACAGGAAAAGACTTTAGTATAAAAAATGAGAGGAAACATTGCTATTGCAATGATCCAATACCTTTTTTATTTTAGCAGTTACATATCACTTTATAAAAAAAATATTTTTTTCTATTAAGGATTTACTATTTGCTCTCAAAATCTGTCTGTCAGTAGCAAAAGTATGCCAATTTTGACAAGCAATTTTCTGTACTTGTCAATACACTTGTAAGATATTTCCTAGAAAAGCTCTGGAATCAACATCCGTCTGTCCAATATGTACAGAGAGATATATGAATGCTGATTTTTCAGGAACTAAAATAAGGGGCTGTAGGTTGAATTTTCATTGCCAAGCAACTTTGATTTGCTACAGAAAACTGCAAGGACAATCAATCAGAATCCTCAGAGCAGAGTTAAAGATAAGAAAAAAACCCCAAGGTCTGAAGTGTTGCCCTTGTGTTTCAGCCTTCTGATTGTTGACAGATTCTTTTTGCAGTTTCTCACACTCTGTTCTTGTAAATAATGAATGTTTTCCATTCCTCATTGGAGGAAGAGAGAATTGATGGACTGTTGATGGGACCTATGGGGTCAGGAGGTATTATCTTCACTGGCCAATCCATGGTCATTGTTGGAATTCTATAAATAGACATGAAATGTAAATAAAGTGGTTCTTTTCCTGCTTGATTCCTCGGAGTCAGGGAGTGTGTCTCTCTCTGTGTGATTTGGTAACCCTGAAGAATATCCCTATTTATCTCTAAACACTGTCTGCATCTTTTTGTTTGTTTCCTTGTGGGTTTAAGAAGAAAAACTACCATAAATAAGGTAAGCAGCAGCATTTCTACTTGAATCCTTATTGTTCAGAGGTTAGGCTGATAAACTGTTGTTCTCAGTCTTCATATCCTAATCTTTTAAGCTCCGCATTTTTCATACTGATAGAATTGTTTAAAACTTCTTTTCAGCAGAGAAAAAAATCTCTTGTGTTCTGATATCTTTCACAGAAAATGATTCCTCCAAACAGTGAATTTTTGCAGTTCACTGTCAAAAAGATATGACCAAAGTGTGAGATCAGTTGTGACTTAAACAGGCCCTATACAGATATAGAGCAACAGAAAATGTCCATCTGCTGGAACTTGCCATTTCAATCACATGCAATTCAGACATTGCCTCAAGCAGAGGTCGCATTATGTAGATCTTAACAGAGAAAAATCAGGGAAAGGGAGCTTTCTCCCTGCAAAACACATCGAGGCTGAGATCAGCACTGAAGATAGAGCAAGGCAGCAAGCAGGGTGATCAGGTTCTAAGCAGAAAGCAGTCAGATTGGCTCGAAATGCTAGGCAATTGACCTCTGAATTAGTTAAAAAACATTGAGAGACATGAAGAGTGATGTAAAATATGCAAATGTAAGGGTTTTTCAATTTAATCACAGACAGTCTGACTGCATATGGAAGTATCTCAAACTGTTTTATACAGCCTAGATCCTAACATTATTGCAGACTCAAAACCAAAACATGACAGAGTGAAAAGCATTTGCCTTCCCGGCCAAACCAGCTCCAAAACATTTGCTGAATTCTGTGTTAGGACATATATATTTTATATATGTGAGGGTTTATTTACATGTATGTCCTAACACCAGCACCACATTGACCTGATGTATCATTGTAGCATTTTCTTCTTTCTTCAGTCCTCATTATATAGTAGTCTCTTTTACCTGTCCTCTTCCATCTAACCTATGTTCATCCCTACCATTATTTTTTCAGACCTCTTAATTATCATGAAAGGAAAAGCTGAGCACAGAGATAATGATTCAAGAATCATCTGGACACAATCCTGTGCCATATTCTCTGTGATGACCCTGCTTGAGCAGGGAGGTGGGACCAGATGACCTTTTTGGTCCCTTCTAATCTCACTCATTCAGTGATTCTCTGACTTAAAGAATGAGGGGATACATATTTGATACCTACTGGAAAAAGAAAATAAAGGAGTCAAGAAGTTTTACTGGTGAATTTGTCTCCAGAGAACTGTTATGCAACCAACCATTCAACTAAAGGTTTCTTACCCTCTGAAGAGCAGTCACTTGATTGTTTATTGATTATCTTCTAAGTGCCTGCTGTAATACAGTTTACAATATTTAAAGACATTAAATATTCAATAATAAATTTAAAATAATAGAAAAATGGGGTTTTCTGAAGGTCATTAAACTTGGAGGTCAAACACTTAAAGAAAATGTGACAACAAGGACCAGTTCCTGAGGCACTTACCCTTTGATGGGTTTAGACTAAATTAAAACTAAGCACCTTCGGCTTTGTTTTTTTGTCATTTATGTTATTCGCATTTCTTATTCTTTTAAAAATAAAATAGCATTTTCCCACTCCATCCGTTAAGGAAGAAATAAAATTATGAAGAGAAGCCACATTTATTAGTACCAGCTCTACAAACAATCAGTATATAATGTAAATCTTCCCTGGACTGAATCCCCCCGGTACCAGGATCACATCTATCCTATAAGCTAACTTCTATGAGAGTTTTAATTACAATCATGCTTTTCTTCCCCACTGAAATGTAAAATATTTTATATTTATTTATGCTTATGAAAAAAGGAAAATCATATAAACAGAGACAAACTGTACTAGTATTTTGTAAAATCTGTTATATTCTTAAAATAATTTTATCTTCTTAGCAAATAGAAGTATTATTAAACACAAACTAACATTTTGTAATCCAACCCTCCTGTTTACCCTGAAGCGTTGCTAAATTTCCTTTAATCAAAACAACTTAAATCTTAATTATATTTCTATAGAATGAATGGGAGAACACAATGGCATTCTGATACCATGGTTCCTTGAGGCATTCCTATAATTTCAGGCTGGCTTTTCTAGCCTGACCAAGGAACAAATCTACACTTAAAAAAGCTACAATCAGAGCAGTTTATCTATTGCCATAAAGCTCTGACCTTTATTCTCTTTTGTTAAATGAGACAGTTTGAATATTTGGCTTGTAGTCCCAAATAAGCACAAAGTAATGGCTGAATAACCACAGATGTAATTACTTCAACAGCCATCTTCACCCTTCATTCTCTCTTTTGTTCACAATAATCCAAGAATATTGATTAGTTTTCCAAAATTACTAACATATTTCTTATTTACTGATTCATAATCCAATATACAGGTTGTTACCCAATATGTATGAATTCACTAGTCTCACAAAACCATTAGGATATAAAGGAATACTGCCTTTGTTTTAGTGAGGGAAGTTTGAATTATAACAAAGATAAATTATTTGTTCAAGGTGAACCTCATGAGCTGTTTGAATTGAGAATATAGTGCAAATCAGATCTCTAAATACATCTGGCCAATTAAATAGAGAGATTTGTGGACAGAAATATGTGAAAGGCATTCCTTTCTGCCCCTCATCAGGACAAAACCAATTCCTGATGCAGGAGAAGATAGGACATCAAATTGGCTGGAGGTATAACTACTAATGTTCTTTGAATGATAAAAAGTAGAACAGTAATTATCATAAATATCCAGAACAAATCCAAATAAATCTGTAAGCACCTTGTGACTGAAGCTGGTTTGTCTACAGGAAGAATTCCATAGTGCAGTCTCTACCTAGAGAGACACAGTAAAAGCCTGTCCAAGTGACCAAGTATCAATAGCCTCCGACCTTCTCTACCCCATCCTACTCACCTTTCTCCGTATTCTGCAAAGACTAAAACTTCAGTAAGGTATTTTTGAAAGCTACTACAGTTCGTGAAGGGAACTTTGAAAACAAGAAATTCCAGGTTGCAACTGGTTCCCAACACTCAATTCATCTGAGCTTGTGTGGACTGTCCAGCGAAACAACAAGTAAATTCTGTCCACCCATCATTAAAGCAATTTTGCTAAATGAATGAGCGCACTGAAGACACTGTCTCCTCCATTGCATCTTTTTCATGCTGGTGCACTGGAAAGGGGCAAATGGGTATTGGCTACATCCACATTAGCTTTTCCCTGCTGCTGCACAGGAAAGAAAAGGTTTCCCTATACTATTCATTACAATTACCATTCCAAAAGGAGGAGAGATAGCAACTCCAAGAAGAAGGATTTCATGCCCACCTGCTGCACTGTTCTCAGGCACACTTGCTTCATACAGGCTGTGGCTGAACGAGATCACCTCCTCTTGCTCTTCTGTAAAGATAATGACCATAGCTGTGGCTGTTCGAGGTGCAGAGCCTTGATCTGATGCTGTCACTAGCAGCTGGGTACTGAAGTCCTTGGAAGCCAAGGGCTTCCGAAGAATGATGTCACCTGTCTTCACATTGATCTGAAATAGAGCTTCTGCCATCATCAAATTAAAAACAATCACTCCATTTGATCCCAGATCCATATCCTCTGCTCTCACAGTGGCTACTGTCTCATTCACAGCAGTTTCAGCAGGCACAAAGACTCTGATAGGATTCTGCAAAAAAATGGGATTGTTGTCATTGACATCATCAACATGCACCACAATACTGACAGTGGTGCTCCTTGGAAAATAGGTGCTATGGTCACTTGCCACAGCCCTAAATGTGTACTGGGACTTGGTCTCCCGGTCCAGTGCCTTTGTAGTAATGATGGATCCCGTGACACTGTCAATTGCAAATGCTCCATAGGTGTCATCAATGAGGGAGTACATAACTTCACCATTCAGGCCAGCATCTTTGTCAGAAGCAGAAAGGTCCAGGATGGCTGAGCCTTCCTCCAGGTCTTCTGTCACAGAGATTTGATACTGGGCCTCTGCAAACAATGGGCTGTGGTCATTTTCATCCAAGACTGTTATACAGAGCTGTGCAGTGGAGCTTCTTGAGGGACTGCCTAGGTCATGGCACTCAATTACAAGAGTGAAATTGCTGACGTCTTCTCTGTCTAAGCTACGAGTGACCAGCAGCTTGCCTGATGTGTTATTTAGTGTGAAGTATTCTCCAACATTTCCACCTTTCAAACACATAAAAAAAGAAATTATCACAAACAACTACTTTTTAAAAAGAACCCCTTGTGAATGTTCTATGCTAATTGCAATAACAAGGTCCAATTGCTTATACAGCTGGTGTGTTCATGTGCCTTTCACATATTTTATTTCTCATACAAATTAAAACCTGTATTTCATTAAAATCAGTCAGCAGCAATGTGAGCAAATGCAGAATGTCATATCAATTTACAGACTGGCTATTTGGCCAAATGCATATCTTTTTTCCCAAACCAGCCCACCTTATAAAACCTCATGCATCTATGCTGCTGCATGAAGTGACCTCTTCCCAGTCTTAGTTACAAATTCCACAAATCTATAAAGCATTGCTGACAACTGTAATTGCTTGCTCCTTGTTCTCTTCCATCACTTGGAATTCAAGAGTTGTTCAAGGTCATGATTTGGGGACACTGGGAATAAATATGAAGCAGTCAACTGAAAAGTCTGCATTTTTAGTAATGGTGAATGGCATACATACTTTATAACATGGAGAAAGACCAAAGGTAACTAAGTTAAATGACATAGAAGATCACAATATTAAAACCAAGAAAAGAAAAGAATTTGTAACTGTTTGTTCAAAGAAAAATGTGTTGGTTTTTACCACAGTAACTCTCTGCCTATATTTGAGCTATTGCTGAGAGCCACAAACCAAAGTAAGCACAGCAAACTTGTATTTGTCCAAAGATACTACTGGAGGCTTTGAACAGCTATGGAGCTTACATTGGCATAGTGGACACAGGGAGAGTTTGGCAAGATGGAAGCCAAGTATGACACTACTAATTGCTGGGTGAAAGAAGTTCTTACTAAATAAAATTTAATAAATAGCATGAAATAAATAAAAGTCTTTCTTGGGTATATTTCCAACGGCATATTTACATTCAGACTTCTACAACTATAACAAAAAGGACAAAATTATACCTTCATGATTAATGCCTCATTCCAGCATTTGGTATTTTTTTGTTTTTCTGTCCTGCACTATTTCAAATTCAGAAAGCAGAATGAAAGTATGCCTGGGAAGTGCTTATTAGTGCTGACAAAAGGTGAAAGCTCTTTTCCCCACAAAAGAAGCATGTGGACAAGATGGGAGCTAGGGAGGCCTGGTAAAGTCAAGACTAGTCTAAAACTTGGATGCTGCTGCTTATATATTCCCTGATTTATACTAACAAAATGATGGAATGTAACTTACCAATTATTTTGTATCTTAGAGTTCCATTATTGCCAGCATCCATATCTACAGCCCGAATAATGTAAACAACAGAAAGCTGCTGGTTCTCTGGAATAAAGATCTCAGAGGAAGGAAGAAGAAACGTGGGAGAGTGATCATTTTCATCCAGCACTGTGAATATTACTGTCACTGTGCTTGACAGTGACGGGGTTCCACTGTCCCGAACCAAAACTAAGATCAATAAAAAGAAAGCAAATTTCATTCAGTGTTTATGGGTGCAGCAATAGATGTTCTTTAATAATATCAGAGTAGTAGAATTATTTATGCTATGTAAAAAGCATATGCTCTTCTGTGCTGGAAAATCTTCTCACTTGCATTTAATTCAGAAGGCATGAGAAAAGTAATGCTGATAGTAACACCTCGCTCACTCTCTCTTCCCACTCTAGAGGCATTTATAGATATTTCACACTACTACCTTTAATACTGAAAACCTCCTGGGCTTCCCTGTCCAGCGATGCAGCTGTTACGAGTTCTCCACTGTCTGAATTCATCTTGAATTTCTCATAACCAGTTCCTGGTAAGATTTCATACTGAAGGAAGGAATTCAGTCCTTAAAAACAGAATGGCAGTCTTAATAAAACACAGCATCTCTCCTCACATTCAGGTCTACTTATTTGTTTTTTCTCCCTCCGAGTTCTTGTGAATGACAATTCCATACAATTCCTGATCACACCTACCATTTGTATATAATGCAGGGATATTAGCCATCCTATCTTTCTCTAGGAAATAGGCTAAAACTGTACAAGCTTTTAGAAACCTTTCTTTCAAAGTTGCCCACCTTAGTTGAAGAGGAAATGAGACTCAATGTTCTTACCTATTATGGTTGCAAGATAATTCCTGTCATATTTCTTATAGTTTTAACATCCTCTCAAGGAAAGTATAATGTCATCTCCATCACACTTATATTATTACTTTTAATGAGCCTTTAATTACCTTTAAACCTACATTAGACCCAAAAGGTTTGAATATTGTGCCCTTATATTTTTGAAAATTTTCCTACATTCCATTCAACCATTCTGTGTTTTTCCCACCCAGAATTAGTCCTTTAGTAGGGCAGGGACAGTCGGTACACCTGAAAAATTACATGACACATCTAGTCATATGAAAACTCCTATTCAATGTCAAACACTGCCTGCTTGTTCTCATCTGCTGCAGTCAAGCACAAGACAATCTGCACTAGAGTTGGTGGAGAAACACCCATACGAGAGCAAAAACAGAGCCTAGAGTTTTTAACATACTCCATTTGCCTTTGAATAGCTTTCTTAAGTGGCTGACAGTGCTACTGAAATTTGATTAAGAGAAGTACTACTATTAATGCATTCGCACCTAAACTAAGTCAAGGGAAGGACATTTTCATACAATACACAGCAGAAGGAAAAATGACTTACAGAAATCCTTTCAGCTTTACAGAAGAAGGAAGAAAAATCACATCAGTGAAGACAATCAAGGTGAATGTCTTCACAGGCTACAAACATATATTTATCTGATCTGCCCATATCAGATGACATTCAACTAAATTTTGAAAGCTAATCACAGTTCTGCCTGCATTTATCTATCTTTTATCACCAATATGCTACAGATGGAAAAAAAAACCAAAAAAACACAAAACTCCAAATCTGATACTATTAGCTTCTTGCCTCCTGCAATTGAGCTGCTTCAGCCCAGTGCCTTCTCTGGCAGATTCCACAATGGACATTATTCACAACCAGTACTGAAAAAAAATGGGTGCCATCCAAGTTGACTATTCACACAATGCTGATAATAAAACTTTTAACCCTTAAAGAACATAGATATGTGACATCTTAATTACATTTATTTACCAAGCATTTACTGACTCCTTTCCTATATGCAACTGCTAGGAGTGTAAATCAGCATTAGGAAAAAGCTGCACACTCTACCCAGGAGAGGAGCATGCTAACTCTACACATTCACACACCACAGCAGAACAGCTAGCACATTTGCACTCAATCCAACCTGCTGGTTAATTACTCAGTAGCATCGATCACATTTTAGAGGCTGAAATTACAAACTGAAATAAAGAATGTCCCCCCGCCCCAAATCCAGATTCAAGTCTCATCTTTATAGGACTTTACAATAATGTCTAATGAATGGGAATAAGCCTTGTCTCATAACTTGAGGTCAATGGTTCCTACTAACCTTTTAAGATTTCTCTCCTAAGGCTCCAGACATAACTATTGAACCACAGAGGTGCACATCAGCTTAAAAGGAGACCTTGCCAAATGCTAGTTCAGTTCTTCCACAAAGACCTACTTCAAGAAAAACCCTGACTTATCTTAAATATGTTGCTTGTACCTTTGCTCTCCCATGCATATTTTTCCAACATGCATATTTTCCAATGTTAACATCTTTTACCCTTGCATTTACTGATGTTGAGCTGTCAGATGGGTGTGGGGTGAGGGCATGAAGGGCTCCCTAAGGGCTCCCAAAGTCAGACAACATAGAGATGCAGTAAGTGCAGGTGTCGTAATGTGGAGGAGGGAGGTTTCAGGGATATTCATTTGAAAGAAAGCCATTCCAAAGTCAGAAATTTTACATGTGATTTCCCCCCAAAAAGACACTCTTCCAGTAACAGAGAATGAAATAGAAAGGAAAATAAAAGAAAAGGTTGATAATAACTAGTTCCTCCCAGTGGTGACTCAGGGAACATATGAAGTGAACAAAAAAGTGTGATGGGAGAAAGTCCTCCACTGAGACTATGCAAATATTACTGGGATGTGAACTGTAATTTAAAGATTTTGTAAAAACAAATATTTGATATAAAAACAACAAAAAAGAACACCATGACAGAAGCCATCTTATTCAAAAATTGTGTCCCAAAAATGTAAGAAAAATTAGTAGCATTATATTTATGACTCCCATATAAATAATTTTTTTTTTTACATTATGAACATAATTTCAATATTAATTTGAAACAATACTATTACACACCCATGACCATGGGGCCAAATCATGTAAATGTGAGAAAAAGACCCAACAGAAGGACTGTGGTTACTGGAAAATGTACTTTAAAAAAAATACCAGGAAGGAACCATCAGCCACAACAGTGCTCCAGCCCAAAGTGTCTGCACAGGGAGGCACACACTGTGCCATCCAGTATGCTTGGAATGCCCTTCCTCTCCACCCTGCCAAGCCACCCTGACTCCCTCCCACTAACTGCTCTAGACATTTCCTTTCTGCTGTATTTCCCACAGGATGTGGAAAAAAAAAAATTGATGGAAAAGGAGGGAGAAGGATTCAAACAAATTCTCAGTTGCCTCTTTTATCTTCTAAACCTTTCTTCAAGTATCATCTTTTTTGCAATCCAAAAGAGAAAGAAAATACTTAGAAGAGTGAGATACGGAGGCAGACTGCAGTACAGCTCAGCTGTTATGGAGATCATAACAGGCATAACATACCCATTCCTAATTTCTAAATACTTCACATTCTTGTGGGGAAATGTCCTTTCTATATAATACCTCTGTTGAGCTCACATCAGCCTTTTGTAATCAATATGTGCTCTACATTAAAATTACAAGTCTTACTGAATACAGAAGATTATTTTTCTAACAAGTTCCGTTACATGCTTTTAGGATAGCAAAGTCTTACACAATTCTAAAAAAGTACAGAAAGTGAAGTCACAGTAAAAATGAAGTCATTCACAGAGTTGAGACTACCTTTGGGCCAAAGACGGCAGTATTGTAATATTTAACTCTCCAGATTTTATTATTTATTACATAGATCTTGTATAACTGCTCCAGCATATAGACTATCTGAAACATCATATGCTATGCATTTTAGACCGTTCAAAAGAGCAGGTAGTTGAACAACTGCAGGGAATTTTTTGTTGCTTAGCAGATTCTCTCAGGTTTAGGCCTTACATGTGATACACTGAGGAGATGAACCATCCCCACATTTTATTAATCCATTCTGTGTATTTTTGAAAAGCAGTGCATTAACACTCTTTAGCATGTAAAAGCCTACTTAAAATCCGGGGCAGCTTCCACTAGCCCTTCACAGCTCAACCAACTGGAAAATCTTGGATGACAGTGCCCCTCTCTGGTCAGAAAAGATGAGTGCAAATCTGTTACAAAACCAGGACTCTTGACTAGTGAACTGCTTTAAAACTATCCAAAACGCTCTGATTGAGAGCGACAGAATGTTCAGATATTAACTTTGAGTTGAATATGGTACGTTTATTTATAACCAGAACACTTTGGCTTTCTTAATGAGAAACCTAAAATATGCTGTATCACAAAAGAACACATCTTATATTTAATATACCCATCAGAGCTGCAAGTCAGATTACCTCCAAGCTTCAATTAAAGATCGAGAGTCTGAACCAAAACTTGTATTTTGAAATTCAAAAGTTATATATTATACATTATACTTGAGAAAAGCACAACAGCTATACATGCATGGCATCAAGATTGGTCCACAAGTAAATTATAAGCAAAAGGACACAAATTACCTGCATCTCGGTCCACAGCCTCCACTCTTATGACAAACTCCCCTGGATCTCGGTTTTCATGGACTTCAGTCTCATAAAGTTGCTTCAGAAATACTGGGGTCTCATCATTCACATCAAGAACAATGATGGTTAGAACTTGTGTGGCAGAGAGAGCTGGGCTGCCATCATCGAGAGCTATGACTGTCAAACTGTAGCACTCCTGAACCTCACGGTCTAGAAACTGGGCTGTAGTTAAGAGTCCTAATTTAAAGAGACAAGGTTTTAAAATGTATCCTAGTCCAGGTTCGTATCCTAGTTGTTCCAGCACTTACAGCTTCAATGTAGCATCACCACGCCACTGCTGCAAGGCTTATGGACTGTGCAGTCATTCAGTACCTGTAATTCCCTCTACAGTACTACTTGGTCCAGAAATACTGCCTTTGGTATCCAGGGAAATTGGAATTCATGGAAAATTCAAGTGAAGCTGAGAGATTGTTTTTATCTAACTTTGGGTTTAACTTTTAAACTTGATTTAACTTATACATTTGTCTTCTTTTGCACGTAAGTTATGCAGTTAGGAGCTCTACAAATCAGTGTCAGCTGCATCATCTAATGAATTCAAAATCAGAATAAGAACCAGAAAATATTACTATTAAGGTGGTATTTGCATTTGTGAGAACATAGTATGATAGTTAGAAACCAGAAAATTCCAGAGGGCTGAAGAATGAAATTCATCAGCACTTTGAGCCTCCACTGAACACATTGCACCCACAGTGTAATGCAGACTCCTTGATCTCAACTTTGCCTTTCCTCGTGTGTATATATTATAGCATCCATGTGTGCACATGCTTTAAGTATGCATCATGCCAAAATCAGAATGAAGTATTTCACTGCACGTGTTTTCTTCCTGCCTTCCTTAGCGCAATGCTCCAGTACATCTACACAACACAGTAACAGTGTTATGCCAAAATGTTTGAGCTGAGTCTCACAGAGCTTGACCACTGTGAGCTGTACTGCCCTGCTTATATGGTGCTCTGCCCAAGGCAATCACCCCTGAGGACAATAAGTCACCTGGGCAGAGTACCACACTAATGTGGTATTTAACTATTGCATGGCATGCACTCCTAATGTCACTGTGAGAATTACAACTCAAGAAACCCCAGAGAAGAGAAGTTACAGTACCTGTGATTTTATCCAGTACAAATGCTTTGTTTTCATTGCCTGAAAGAATGTTATAAGTAACTTGTCCATTTCTTCCCTCATCAGGATCCTTTGCAATTACACGGTGTACAAGGAAGCCCACCTCCACATCCTCCATGACATAGGAGAGAGGTGAAGACATAAAACTGGGACTGTTGTCATTGATATCTAAAATGACAATTTTCACAGCCAGGGAAACCAGCCGACGATCAGTCAGATTTATTGCCTGGTCTTCTGCAAACACCGTCAAGATCACAGAACAAGTAATCTCCCTGTCTAGTGGAGAAGCTGTGGTCAAGGTGCCATACAAAGGGTGAATAAGAAACTGATTTTCACCCCTGTTACTCATTTCTAAGGAATACTCTATTTTGCTGTTCAGAAAACTGCCATCTCCATCCTTTGCATTGAATGTGTAAACTAGAGTGCCAACAGGTACATTTTCTTCTATGCCAATCACTACAAAGTCTTCTTGAAAATATGGAGAATTATCATTCTTATCTTCTACATCAATGCTTAGGAAGACAGTGCTATTTTGTTGGGGATTATTATAATCCTTTATAATAACTTGCAAAAGAAAGTGTGAATCTGTCTCATAGTCAAGCTCCTTGGAAAGATAAAGTTCTCCTGTCAAGCTGTCTATTTCAAAATTAACATTATCATCTTTAGCAATACTGAAATGCAGTTTCCTGTTAAGTGCTAGATGGTTACTTGGCGCCTTCAGAGAATCCAACACTTGTGCAGGTTTAAAATTTTCAGGTATGACAAAGTGCTTGAAGTCTTGAGAGAAGCCAGATCTCCCATTGGGAAGTGGGATCACCTGCAACCAAAATACAAAGACTGAAATATCTTCCCACTGTTATTATGAATATTGTAATGTGTAGTGGGCTGACCCTGGCTGGATGCCAGGTACCAGCAAAGCTGCTTTATCACTCCCCTCTTCTGCTGGACTAGGGACAGAAAACATAATAAAGGTTCATGAGCTGAGATAAGGACCAGGAGAGATCACTCAGCAAATACCATCACAGCCAAAACAGACTAGAATTAGAGATTTTAACTGAACTTACTGCTAACAAAATCAGAGCAGGACAATGAGAAGTAAAATAAGACCTTAAGAACACACTTTCCCCCCGCATCGCTCCGTCCTTCCCAGCTCTACCTCCTTCTCCAGGGGTGCAGGGAGACAGGGAATGGGGGTTACAGTCAGTTCATCACCTGGTCAGTTGTTTCTCCCATTGACCATGGAGACGAGTCCTTTAACTCTTTAGCTGTGGGAACAGCATTTACCTTGCCTGTACTGACACATGTTACTACAATCTATCCAAAATTAACCATCTTTAGAGTGACCTGAAAATAGCAGCCTCAATAACATTCAGCCTCTGACAGAGGAGTGCACAGATGGCCTGGACAAAGCAGCCCCACTGTGGCTCGATGAACAGCAGGTGGCTGGAATAACCACAGGTTGCATTTCACACTCCCATGAAGAGCAGCCCTATATAAACCAGCACAAAGAAATATCTTTATACAAGGTTATAGAGATAGAATTTAGAAAAGAAAGTAACTTCGTGGAAAAACCAAAAAAGTCTACTCTCTTCTTCATTTTCAATCCCACTTGATATTTGGGTTTTTTCTGCCTACCTGGATATTTTCCTCCTATTTCCAGTGTTTCCAATGATCTCCTACTAAATCACAAGCATTGCCTATTTGCAAGATGATCCAGAACGCTGTTGTGCATTCTTAAGATATCAAAATGAGTCTGCTCTCTCATTTCCTCCCTCAACAGAAAAACGGCTAAGGAAAATCACCATAAGATAAAATTACCGTATTTCCCAACCTTCTTACAAAATTGTTTTTTTCTTCAAAGAAACTAAGCATTTAACGTAACCCTTCTATCTGTCTGTATAGATAGATTCTACCTATCTATACAACATAAATAAGTACCTGGATGTAAACAGTAGCACTTCCTTGAAGCGAAGGTATCCCCTGGTCCTTGGCTGTGATGATCATTCTATAGTTGGATCTCTCAGCATGTGACAGAGGCTGGGTTGTTCTTAACTCTCCACTGACAGCATCAATCTGGAAGTATCCTATATCCTCTTCTGTGGAGTAAAAATGGAAATGTGTTATGGCAAATCAGTAACAGCTTGCCTCCATAGTACTGAACATTGTAATGAATAGTGAAAAAGAGCAGGACATGGAGGAAAGGAATCTGCTGCACTCATTTGGATCTCTCTGGTTTGTTTGGTTTATCTCCTCTTCTTTCACTGAGTACAGTTACTATAAACCACTTAATGTGGATTTAGAAAAATATGGAGAGAAACTCCATAGAGTACTAAAGCAATTGCCCAGTTTTGTACCAACTTTACTCACACCAACGGTGTGTGCATTAGGAGGGCAATAGACAGCCCAGAACTGGTCCTCCTACTTCTAACTAGGCAGACAGGGCCAGAGAAAGAATTAAGTCTCAGTCTCCAAACTGGCATGAATGGTCAAGTATCTCCCGTGACTCATATATTATGGATGAACAGCTCTTGACCCCTACGATACACTGTGACTGCAGTGATGCCACTTGCCCTGCTTGTGTTCGGTACCAGAAGCCAGTTGAGGGTAGCTACAATCTTAAAGTAAGCTGTTGCAGAACATGTGAATATTGGAAATTATTCTTATATCTTTCATCAACGTCTGGTAACACTCTAATAATAAGTGGCTTTTATTTAAAGTCATTACTTGCAGCCACATCATTTATTTGAGAGTTGCAAATAATAATTTTACCACAGATGAATAAATAGCTCTTCGCGACTTAGAATTATAGAATAATTTATGTTGAAAAGTATCCTTAAGATCATCAAGTGGAACCTTTAACCCAACACTGCCAAGTTCACTAAACCATGTCCCTAAGTACCATGTCTACATGTCTTTTAAATGTCTCCAGGAATGGTGACTCCATCACCTCCCTGGGCAGCCTGTTCCAATGCTTGACAAACCATTAAGTAAAGAAATTTTTCCTAATATCCAACCTAAATATCCCCTGGGAAAAAAGATTGACACATAGCTCCCCCATTTTCAAGAAAAGGAATACAAATTACTTTCAAATTTTAGTAAAATAGGAAAGTATCTATTACTTTGTATACATTACCAGACACTGAGAAAATCATAATTGTTATAAGTACTTCTCTCTTAGAATACTGTCCAAACAGCTTTCTGTTATGTGAATTTTTAATAAGGTGTGCTAGCAGGTTAAATTAAGTCATGCAGCATAACAGCTGCTATTATAGCAACTGTGGTAAAAATAAATTCAGTGCAGATGAAGTACACAAAATACACATAAAGAACTATATTTGTATTGGCCTCTAAGTGAGCATGAAGCTGTTTACATTCTCCAAATCTGCACATTCAAATTAGTTAACTGCACATATAGATGTTCACTTTTGTATCCAATTATATCATCTGCAACTGTAAAATATTTGCACCTGTAACATTTGAAGAAAAAAACCACTTAACAAACTAGTTAGAGAACCAGGTTTTCATAACCAACAAAAAGAAATCTTTTTCAATATCGGTCTGCTATTTTTTGCACGAATATAGCTTTCTAATTCTCAATCAGACTCTTCTGGGTAGAGTCTGGAACATTAACAAGGAAATTGCCAACAAAAGGAAACAATTTATAGAGACAATTATATTGAATGAGATAGTCTTGCATTTTTCATGGTAGTTTCGAAATATTAATGCTGGTCTATTACTGTTTCCATAAATAGCTTTTGGTTTACTTTCCTGGTGTAGGTCCCAACACTATGTCTACAGTCACAATCTGCTATTTTGTTCCATATAATGTTACGTGACACAAAATCCCAGCTAAGTAAAAGTCACAGGAGATAAGAGAAACAGAACATATAATGTGAATTGCATGTATATATTTTCAGTATATTACTAAATCCTACACTTAAGGTTACACTAAATTCAAATATTGCATGACATAGTTTTGTGCATATTTTGGTGGCAATGAATGTAACAAGAAGGTCTGAAAATATTGGAAAGAGACATTGTATAGAAGAAAAAAACCCTTGGGACTTCCATTTAGTAAGTGTTTCACATTTTCATTTCTTTATCTGATACCACACTATAAAAGCAGTCAAAACTGAAATGCCTCATGTCAATTTTTCTGGTATTTTTATCAGTCTATATTTAAAATGTATTCCAAGTGTAGCCATTTGATTGAAAGTCAGAAAAAACTTTTACACTGAGAAATAAGTTTAACAGCATGTCAGTCATTGTTGTAAAAGCTCATGCTTGCTGCATTTCCAAAAACATTTCCTTAGCTCTCATCTCCATAAGTCACCTGAATTAGAGAAGTGCTGCTTATATCACACACCCTAAATATGTCCTTTTGTATCTGAGGAGGAAAAGAAGAAAGTACAGGAGAAATGGATAAGAAATAAGGAAACTGGAAAGAGCAGATGAAGCATGGAACAGAAAAAAATTTAATCTCTCAATAACTAGACTCTAATGGCCCCAGTCTCTTCTTGAGCTTGCAAAAGTAACCTGCCAATAAATACATATGGTTTTACAATTAATTTTTTCACCTCTGCCTTGTTCAACCTGTTGGCCAGATTTTTATTTACATGAGGTTCTCCAAAACTCAGACACTCTCAGCTCTGTGCTCTCAAAGGTGGTCATAGAAACTGTAGTTTAGAACAAAACAAACCAAACCAAACATACAAACAAACCCCCCCCCCCCCAAAAAAAAAAAAAAAAAAAAAAAAAAAAAACCAAAACAACAACAACAAAAAAAGTGGCCTGAGAAACACCAACTTTGCCTGGCTGAACATTCAGGCCTTACAAAAGCTGGCATTTAGGCAAAACATCCCAGAAAGCAGACATAAAGTAACACTAGAGATTCCTCAGCGCACAGTGATAGTTACTTTTACCTAATTCCCTGAACAACTGTTTCTTTCCTAGGTGTTGAAATACTAAGTGCCCTGACCAAGCCCTCCTCCTTTGAGATGATGGAGAACTCATTTCCCTTAACAGAAAAGAGGAAGGCAATGCCATGGCTCCCAAAGAACATGAACATGATGAGGGCTTCTGCAGAAATGTAGCCCTCTGCAAGTCTAGGAATGCTCCCTGCACGCTGCTTTCTACTCTTTCTAGAGAACAAGGACTTCTTCATAGACACATGGACAGCACTTGCCAATTCGTGCATGTTAGCAGTGTAACTAGGCTTCTCTTGGCACTTGTGTAGCCAAGCACTAATGTTGCATTCACATAACTCACGTAACTGCTCCAAATATAACTGTAAAAGCCTCTGTCAATGCTAGTCTTAATACACAAAGCAGTAGTTCCAGATGCCCTATAAATACACACTGATTTCTATTATAAATGCTATACTATATCGTACTGATAGTCATAAAGAAAACCAGGCAAATCACTTTATGACTGCCAGCATCACTAAGGAATAAATAGTACACACAGCTGGGATTAACCTCTCTCTGAATTGGTGATAACATGTAAGAGCCTGATAGAGAGACAGAGTCTTCAGATGGCTCTCAAAAAATGTTGTTTATTGCATAGATGAGGTTACAGCAGTTGAGGGTTGTGGGTGAGCCTACAGCTGCTGGCTATAGGCAAGCTGTGTGTCCTGAAGCCCATCTAGTTCTGGTTACAATACATTATATACTTTTCATTACAGAGCATCTTAATACACGACTACCAATCAGCATCATGCACAATACCTTTTACATTTACATACAACCTATCTAAACTGCTAAAATTACCATATTATGTTAGTGACTAGCCAATCATCAGAGTTAGTATTAAAGTTTGGGACTTGTTCCGCAGTGGAAATTTCTGAGATCTTTTCTCTACTTGCAACATTGGCTTTCTTGTTTGCCTGTGAAAATCCTTTTGTTTGGTAAAAACATCTTTTGTTTGAGGTGGATTTATCCTTTGCTCTAAGCCATAAAAGCCCCTTCCAACTCACTTGCTCTTTGCCTTCTAGTTACCCACTAAGACAGGCTCAGCAATTCTTTTCTTCTATATCAAACTTGCTTTCATTCCTATGGAATCATCTGTATATCTGCAAAGTTCCTCCATTAAATTCTCATCCTTCCCAACATTAACAGAGAAGTGGAGGTAGGCTCATGTGACCACCCACTTCAATATACATACATTTTTAAAGGATGGTTTGCTTTGATTTTCTAGGAAGAGGAAGGGGCATTTTGAAGAAAACACTTCCCTGTAACCTAAAATTCATCTAGTGTGTAAACCTCATAGTTCTTTTACATATTTTCCCTCATGTGTTTTGTTGTCATTTGTCATTAACATTCCTGCATAGTATAGTACGTTGCTGCTATCTTGACATTTCTTTAAGATCTCAAAAACATTAAAAATTACCCAGTAACATTTACAAATTTAACAGGTGACACTGACACTTGCAGCTCTTCATCTTGTGGCAGATCCATGACTGAAGAATAAAGCACTAGTCTGCATGGAGTTCTCCACTTAACTTGCTGTCTCTGTTTAACAAATATGGCTGTAAATCAGATCATATTTCTTCTTCATATTTAAGTACCAAGCAATGTCCCAGAACTAGAAAATACTATTTAAAATATAAACCAGGCAAAAACTTCACCATGAAACAGAAGACCAGATGTTAAAGGCTGTGAGCCAACTAACAACAACAAAAATTAGTATCAGAGAAGCTCAGCTGTTTCTGGATTTGTTTATCAGGAAAATATCTAGTTCCAAGGCTGGGAGGGATTTTTTTTAGTGGTTTTTGCATTTGGAAAGAGGGGGAGATGGGGGTGTGTTTGCTGCTGTTTTTATCCTTTTGCTCTTTCCAGAGACAGCTTTTGCAAGATCAGTCATATTTTGTGTTGCTAGTAATTTTTATAATTTGAACTCTTACTCCCCTCTGGGGCTCTACAGTGAAGCCAGTAAGAAAATCCAATATGCTGTTTGAAGGAAGGGGATGTAGTTACATACATGAACAGGCAGAAATGTCTGGAAAACACTTCCTGTACTGCCTGGCCATAACTCTTCAAACAAAGGACTGCACCCTACTCATTCCCTTTTTCATAAGGGGGATCTTTTTGTGCAAAATATTCTTACTCACAATGCAGAAGTCTGAGATACCATCCAATTCCCTCTGGAATAGGCAGTCATTTATATCCAAATTAAGGGAATAATGTTTTCTTGCTCTGATGAAACAGTAAACTCTACATGGAAAATACCAGAGGTTACAAATCCCGAGCTTAAAAAATCCTGATTACATTAAACTGGTAGAATAGAACAGAACCCAAACAAAAAAGAAATAATTCTGTTCCTGGTAGCTCTTACTGTTTTGAAGCAATAGTGAGGGAAAGCAGGAGTAATTGACCTGTTTTCCTTCCTGGTTACAGATGGAGTTCTCACTTTCATGAAAGCGTGGCAAGTGGTATGCAGCAAAACCAGACATCACATCTATGTCTCCAACCAGTATTAATGCCCCAGGTCCCATTTATGTTCTAATTTAGGACCGCTCTGTTATTAATTTCACTGCAAACAAAACTGGATCCTACAGCTTACCCCAGAAGTGAACTATTACATGAGGAATTATGGGGAAACTATTTTTAAGATGCCACACTATGTCAGGTTAACACAGTGCTAAACAAAGGGCAAAACCTGAACTAAAACCCACAAACTTCATTGTTTGCCCAAATTATCCCTTCCTCAGACTGTCACAGACTTATTTTAGCAGGAAAATTTTCAACCAGTCATGAGAAAGGGAGATAATTTTTCCTTTAAGATGTTAAACGATTGAAATACAAAACTGTATGGTACAAGATCATGGTCCTAATCTTTTCTGAATGCTGTTTGAACACTCTGGCCAACCACAGAGGCAACTAAATCCTGTGAAAGATGGGGCAGAGAGCGCAGGGAGGAAAGGCAGCTGCTTGCACTTCCTTAGATACTTTATAAGACACATGATGGTGCTGATTTCTATTTACAAAGGCAGCTTTATTCTACCAGACACAAAATAAGCAGAAAACCTTGTATGATACATGGGTTTTCTAAAGTGCTAGTTATTTTGATGTATCTTTTTGTATTAATAACCCTTTAAATTCTTACCTGATTCTACTGAATATAATACAACACTGTTGTTCCCAGAATCGAAGTCTTTTGCAAAGATGGTGGTAACAAGTGTCCCTGATGGCTGCCCTTCCAAAACCTGTCACCAAGCAGTTTATAAATGATTTGCAATTATACATGGATAAAGCCAGTCTTAAAACAAATCCCTTGCCATAACACAAGAGTTTAGCTACAGCTCTATTTTCCATTTCAGTAATATTTACAGTGAGTGCAATGAGCATTTCAGTAGATGGTTAAGCAACAGAGCTCTAGCAACCCTCTGTCACAGTCTGCATAGAGCGCTAACTCAAACATCTTTACTACCTCAAACTCAGAGGTCGGAAATCAAAAGGGATCCCACTGCACACATGAATAGAATTATTCTCATGTTATCCCTTAGATCTGGCCGTGTGCAGTGCCCCGATTTGGGAGGACCCACAGTTCCCGGGGCGCGGTGCCGCCGCGGGGCGGCGTTGCGCGCTGCCCGCGCGGTTCCCCGCCCCACCTGCCGCCGCAGCGCCCCCTGCGGGAAGCGCGGCGCGTGGTCGTTGCGGTCGCGCACGGAGATGCGCACGGCGGCCGTGGCGCTGCGCCGGGGCCGGCCCGCGTCCGTCACCAGCACCTGCAGCACATGGTGCGCCCGCTCCTCGCGGTCCAGCGCCGCCCAGTTTATGATTTCACCTGACAGCCAAGAAAAAGGGGGGAGAAATGGAGTTAGGTGTTTACTGTATGCTAGCACTCAGCCCGTGCAATTATGCATATAATTTCATGTGAAATAATGGTACGTGCCCTCCGATACACCTGATCACTGACGTGAAAACCTCAGCTTTCCAAACCCCATCCTGTAGAAACATTTTGTCGATCACAGTTTTGCATATGTACTTTAGTGCCCTATGACACTGGGTGTCCCAGAGCAAAGGTATAAAATAGTATGAACCAAAATGCTGACCTTTTAAAGAAATCCATCTGACCTTAACCACACTCCAGGACAGATAATACACGAGCAGAGGAGTTTAACTGCTGATAAGGCGCCTTTCTTGATTATGTATATTAATCATAAACCCTTATGTCTTCCATACATTCTGGTAAATCCAGCAAATAAATCTGACCAATTTTCTCTCTATTTGCTTAGCCATACCCAATATAGCTGGGGATTTGCGGTTGACCAAAGCTCATCACACAGATAACCATATATTTCTTAAAATCTTCTTAGCTAACTCCTAGTATTCTGTTTGCCTGTAAACTTTCATAAGTGTACTCAAAAGGAACCTGTTTTTATTTTGAGATTCATACAGAGAAATTCTGGGAAAGCCTATTCACTCCCCATGGGGACTAGGCATCTGGAAACAGGAATTTTAAACAGCAGATCTTTGCTCTCTACATACCATTTTGCTAAACTGGATCATTTATGGTGCCTGTGTGCCTTGAAGGATTCCCTTCCTTTAGGCTCTCCATGCTCTGGCCTCTGGTGTTATACCGTGTAGATATAATCCCTATTACTTGAGGCGTTTGGGATTCACTGCAGACTACACCCTACACTGTGAAACTTTTTCCTCAGCCTATTTGCTTTCTGTGATGCCATGTACTACATGAATTCAGTTTTTATGTCAGTTACAAAAGCATTCACTAGTATTTTAAATCACTTTGTCTAACTTCTTAAGTACCTGTATAGTTACCTATGGCTGATCTGTACTTTTCAACTTTACTTAAACACAGGCATAAAAATTTCTCATATGAACTATTGAAGCTATAACTTAAAACTTCTCCTTTTAATTTGTTGCAGCCAAACACTGAAACTTAAGACGAAGTGACCTGAACAAACTCATGAAAAAAATAAAATCCTAAGGACTAGTCCATTCTTCTTGAAAATGTATTTGGTTTATTTCATTCCCCAAATTATGAAACTCTGAGTAAAAATATTCATATATCAACCCAAAAGATTCACAGCAGTTCCTGATAGCTTTATACTTTACTTCCACACCCTTAGGGAAGGCTGCTTTCCAAAAGCAATATTAGGTAGATTACAAATCATCAAATGCTACCTGTGTTAGAATTGATCTTGAAATACTTTCCATCAGACAAGAGGAAATAGGAAAGCTGTCCATTTCTTCCTGAGTCTTTGTCAACAGCTGTAATGGTGCCAACCACACCACTGGGAATCAGATTCTCCTCAACCTCAAAGAAGTAGCTCTTACGCATAAACATGGGAGAATGATCATTTTCATCCAGGACATTAACTATTATAGATGTACTTGCATTTTGCCTAAGCTTTTTGTCCTCAGATGTGCTGACCAAGGCTCTAAAACTCAGCATCTGTGCGCATTCATAGTTCAAATGCTTCCGAAGATAAATCCAGCCAGTATCAGAGCTGATTCCAAATGCAAGAGAATCAGTGCTCGGCTCTAAGGAATAGGTCAGATTGGAGGTAATGTTCTGTGAATTAAGTGACTGGGCTTGAACCTGAAGAATTTGGGCACCTAGAGAGGTAGTTTCACTGATTTCTACTTGATACACCAAGCTTTGGAAAACCAAAATAGGGCCCATCTTCTGCTCTTCAATAACCACTGTCAACATCAGCAAAGAAGTCAGAGGAGGACTTCCACAGTCTTCAGCTGCTATGTGTAGAGTATATTCCTTCTGCTTTTCCTCAAAGACTGTCCTGGTAAGGTTTACCACTCCAAGACTTGGATCAATGCTAAATGCATCTGACTGCTTGCTTGCAATACTGTATTTAATTGCCCCATTTAGGTGACTGTCTTTATCTTCAGCATGAGCAATGTAGATAGCAGTACCAGGAGGCTGGGTGTGTGAGATGGTTACCTTACCAGATTTGGCAAGAAATACTGGAGGGTTGTCATTAATGTCTGTAACAGATATGTTGACTTGAGTGCTGGTGTAGATGGGGAAATTACCCAGCTGTGACTGAACAGTGAGCACCACAACAGGCTGAGCTTCATGGTCAAGCTCTTTCTTGGTGCGGATAATGCCAAACTGGGGATCGATAGAGAACTTTCCATGCGGATCACCGGAGCAAATTCTGTAAGAAACTACTTCTAACGAATCTAGAAATGGAAACAACAACAAAAAATGTAAAAATAAATCAATCAATCAATCAATCAATCAATCAAGGAAGTGATAATATAAACATTGGCAAGAATGTCTGAGGAGAATGCATGCTAAATTCAAGGGAATAAATGTAAGCTACACAGATGTTTGACATTCCTGGGCTTTTGATGCTTCCTTCTTCCCAACCCTAGAGCCCTTCAGTAAAATATGAGTGTATACAGTTTGTCCATTTCTGCACTGTTTGATTTTCATCACACTGGTATTATAAAACTCTATAAAAAAAAATCACATAATAGCCTCTTGTTTTTCCCTGATCTAAAATACAGGAACAACACTCTTATAAATTAGTCTTGTGGGAGCAATTTCACTACACACAGGCATTCACTATAGCAAGGAATGAAACAGGTGGCAGTTCCCTGAAAAAAAATGGTTTTTAATAAACTTACTGTTCATGGGTGACCATTGTTGTAACCTTGATACATCAGATACTGCCTAAAGCACAAGCTGTCTAAAGATTCAGGCTTACTACCAAGGCCACCCAGTGGGTGCTATTTCCACCCTGAGGAGAGTCTTTCCCAAAAGAAGGAAATGAGAGGACCTGACTAATCAAGCTTGTATGAAACCTTGTCATCTACCACTTTACATTTACAGATCCATCATCATGCTGTTATGTGGACTCACAGAAACCTCTGCTCTGCATAGGAATCACATATGTACAGCTCTCAGTACAGGGCTTTTAATGACCAAGGATTGTCAGGAGCTACCCCATTACCCTTTACAAATCATAACAAAACCAGATGGATTAAATATATTTTCAATAAGTCCCACAAACATTCATCTGAACTTCTCCATTTAATTTGAGACAATGTGGGGTTTTGTTTGGTTGGTTGGTTTTGGCTCTGTTTTTTGAGGGGTGGTCAGGAGCACTTCTTGCAGATTCTCTGAAACTTCTGAATACTCTTTGATTCTAAGTATTGCTCTGAGATTTGCCTTGCATGGCTAATACTTTAGCACGAGCCAGACTGTCACACTTATTTAAACTTTCACATCATGCTTCCTATCTCCCCATTTACAATTACAGACATCCGTCAGGAAGAAAATGGAGGCTATTGCCAACCTCTATGCACCACCAGGGAGAGTACCATGAATCTCTAACTGTTCTAAAGCGCAGTTAAAGCTTCTAAGAGCTGATAAACCAGCCATTTCACCAGTTGCTGTAAATACCAACAGTAAATTCTATTTAATGCTTGACAGACTGAATTAATAACATAGAGATTTATGGGGAAAAAATAATCTACAGCTATTTCCAGTTAATGGCCACAACAAAAATGCAACATAATCTCTGACTAAGACTGTGACTTACTTGGGGGCTTTCTGGCCTTTACGGTGCCAATCACACTGTCTTCAGGGGCATCTTCTGGAACAGAAAAGCTATATCGGGATCTCTCAAATATAGCAGGGACCACAACAGTCTGAAGGATATTTACTGTGATAGCTGCATTGCTGGCAGAGGGAAGGCCACCCCCATCGCAGGCAGAAACAGTCAGGAAGAGTGCAGAACGTGCCAGGTGGCCAAAAGCTGAAGTCAGGTAAATAATTCCTGAAAGTAAACAGAAAGAAAATAGCAATTAAGAGAGATGCAAGATAAAATTTAGCAGGCTGTCAAAATAGTTTCAACATGTATCACTACTCTAAGAGAAGGTCAGACCATGTGGACAAAAATCAGAACCCCTAATTCAATTTTTGAGAGCCAAGTTCTCTTCAAAATATATGATCTTTACCATTCACAGAGCCACTGAAGCACAAGTTCTGTTTCAAAACACAGTGTCCATAATTCTGATTTTAGAAATACATATTTACTACTAGTAGTCTATAGCAATTTGGAAATGCAACAGGGTGGAAAAAAAGTATTGTTACGAAAGATTAATTAATCTTTGCAAATGGTAAAGTTAATGTTATTTCAGACAGGTGGCAGAAACATTCTGCTTAAGTTATTCCTGAAATAAAACATCCACAAAAATGGAGTCAAAGCCCCAAAATATAAATCTTAGGAGCAGAAGGCTCTGTGGAAAGTATGTGGGAAGCAATCACTTGCTGTCTGATCACAAGTTTTTGTCAAAATACCCTTTAATAGTGAATTCTAAGGTACATTGAATTTGCAAGCTGCTAGCAATTACATTTTATATTAACTGTCTGAAGTAATTATTTGAAAGGAAAATACAATGTTCAGTCCCAAAATATAGCACTTTGGATGTACAGTCCCCAAGGTAATCTATTTGTGAAGTAAGTTTTTCAACATGAAAATGAATACCAAAGGTGACAAAATGCAGGAAAAATTTTCTTAGCAGTAAGTGGGTTTTATCAAATATACACTAAACGCTAAAATCACCGTGTGCTAAGTAGTAAAATTGCATTAAACTCAAGTGATTCAACTAATAGGGACAACCTTTTACATACCTACAGATAATTTTAAGAAATCACTAGCTTTTTGGAGAAGGTGGTGAAGACACAGAACCTCTGGCAGTTCAGTAAAACCAAACCTTTTAAACTTTGGGCTACCTTTATAATTTCCTGGCTGTCAAGACAAGTTTAGTAGGGATGATGTCTGCCGTTCAAGTTGGACATTTAGTAGTTAGACAGGGCAAAACTAAAGTTAGCTCAACGGGTCTTAGGAGAATCAATGCATGATTCAATGAGAATATATCTTCTCAGAATTTAGGGTGAAGACACAACACTAATTTTCTACAATCCATTTTTAAACAGAATAATGGAAAATATATAAAATCCTTATAAATATTCAAATGTGCATGCAGTACACTCAAAATATACTGCCAGGACTCTATAATAAACTGTGCCTTGACATGCTTAAAATGCAGTAAAAGGGTCTTCAGGATCAAGGAAAAATGCTTTTCCTTAACAAAAAAGGGACACTTATTCCAGTGTGACAAACCACACTAAAATCTCAACAGTGATACAGATAGATTCAGGGTTCAGTGCTGATCCAGCTCCTTTGCTAACAACTGATGCAATTCTAAGAAACAACCCTATTTTGGCTTTTAAATTTTATTTTTCTTCTGACGGTTGAGTTTTACGATTACTTAATGTCTTGATGTCTTGGTTTAATTTGAATTTCTCGGCCAATGCACCAATAATGTTATAGTTTTGATTTGCCAAATTAAATATATTTATTTTTTGTTGTGAGACAGAACCAGAAGCAAAAGCAAGGCAAGCCTAAAACTTTAAAAGGGTATAAAAAACTTTATTAACTACACACAGAAAGAAAAAAAAACAAATTCAGAATATGATCTTCAGACCACTCCCTCCTCCCCTCTCCCAACCTTCTTAACAACAAGATACCAAAATATAAAACAACCCACTTCAGTAAGTTCCCAACTTAAATAGTCTTTTCCAGTTCACTCCAGAGAGAGGTTTCCTCTTGTCAGGCCATAGGGACTTCTCCACAAGGATGGAAAAAGCCAGTTCTCTTGTGGCTTCACTTTCACGATTTGCATCCGCCCGGGAAGACTTGCAAGCCGTGAAGCTCCTCCCATCTTCACAGCTTTCCCAAAGTTGTGCTTATGGGCCATGTTAAACTCACGGGGTATTTACTTTTAAGAATGAACTGTTCCAAAACAATAAATTATCTTAATCTCTCTCTGTTCATGCTTCATCTCCAGAAACAGAGATCCCCTTTTCTCCTTGGGGCAAAGGATTCTCAACACAGGTGCTTTGGGTCAACAATCTATCAAATGGAACACTCCAACCCCCTCATGTCTTTCTCCATGGTTTATAGGAATATTCAGTGCAATATCAGTTCATCCCTACAACTCACAAAAGGATTTTCAGCCAACCTTCATAGCATCTCATTTTCCTTCCATCTAAAGAAACTTAGCTCTTCTATTCTTTTTCCCTCTAAATCGAGGGGGATTGAAAGTCTGCAAGTCTTATTTGAGCATTAATAGAGTTAAAATCTCACACAGGGAATACAAGGGTGTGGCCAATACTGGAGCTGTGCCAGGATCTCAGAACACCCTGGCCACGCTGGAAAGGGGGAGGAGGGGGAACAGCTGGGACCTCACTCAGCCTCCCTGGGTCTCAACTACAGCACCCACTGTTGATGGCCACCCCTCCTCCCTGCAGGGCCATGCCAGCTTCCCAGACTAGGGAGCAGGCCTGCAGTGGAGCCAGGCTCAGGCTCTGTTACCTGCACTGCTGCCAGAAAAGAAAGAGAGCTTTTTTTCTGGGTTGCTTCCTTCAAAATGTGTGTTCACGGAATGAACTAACTTTCTCCAATTGGTTTCTCAAGCTGTCAATAACCAAACCAGCCTCCAATTGGTCCCATCAACTCACAGAGGAAGTTCTCATGGAGAAAAACCTCTGTGATTCTGCCCTCCTCCAGGTGTAACCAGCACACTTAAACGGTTCAACAAAGTAGCTCTTCAAGGACATAAACTTTTGGCATTTCCTGAGCTAATCTGAGCAATTACAGCTTGAAGGAAAAAGGAGTTTAACTATATTTCTCCAGAGGATAAACATTTACACATGGATTTGTAGCATAATTTCTGTCAAATTAATTTAAATCAAATGGACTGTATGTTACTAATTCGACCAACTTTTCTATATTTTTTATTGACAAGGCTATAAATATGTCCTTCTAATTTTAGATACTTCAAGAGGTATGTGGAGAACTGGAAAATTTCTACAGAAAAGCATCAAACTGAAAATCTTACTCTTTAAGCAGTAATTAAAGACTTCGGAACATCCTTTAGATGTTGACCTCGACACACTGCAGCACACTCCATGCCAGTCCAGTTACAGGAAGCAAAAAGAAAGTTAGTAAAATATTTCATTTTCTTCCTTCATTCTTTTCTGTGTCATAGGGGAAGAGGGCAATAGGCAAGTAGGTCTTGCCAACTCATCTCTCTTTTGCAGGACATCATAAGAACAATTGTAGAATCCAAGTAAAAAGTATGTGTTTTCCATATGACTCCTTCCAACCTCCAAAACTATAATATGCAGAAATTTAATAACCCATTTTGACTTTTAACTATGCACATTCTGTTTCTTTCAGCATTTGTAGGGCTGGGTATTAGCTTTGCATCTGGTGATATATAATCTATAAAGACATTTGAGTTAGCTCTGCCATATGTTGATGAACATGGCTCATTAGGCTCTATTATGGCACCACATGACAGGAAAGAAGCTGTAGAAGAAAGCAGCATCTGGGATTTCACTTTCTGTATGATTAGGTAAAACAGCAGACTGTGACTAAAATGGACAGTAAGGACTACTTGGGCCAAAAGCAGCTGCCAGCACACCTTAGAGCAAGCTGGCTGGGTGCATTTCATTTGCTGCAACAGGGTGCAGGAGGTGCCCAAGTACTACACTGCAAAGGCAGAAACACAGGAAATTGCAATTAGTGGAAACTGTCAAAGCCATAGGTTCAGTTTGTGAAACTCAACAGAGGCATTTCTCACTAAGTAAGAGGTTGAAGATGAACCATGACTTTCCTTTCTTCCCCATTCTGTAATTAAGATTGGGGCTTATTATTGTTATTACCACAACCCTTTACAGCCTGTAATTCAAGGCCTCAGAGACCTTAAAAAACAAATAGGTTGCTGTGGTATAGAATATGTTCTGCCATTATGAAAAACAGTTTCTATAAACATTGACAATGAAAGGGGAATAATGAGACAGCTCCTCTGCAAGGAATATTTTACCAAAGCTCCCAATGGGAGATCACAAAGATAAAAGTGTGGGTCCCCTTTAAGAAAAGTGCCACCTTTCTTATAGCTTGACTCACCATATAAATGAATATTCTTATCTGCTGCCTTTAAAAATACTTAATTCCCATTTTTCAAATTAATATTTATATCACTGCAGTGCTTTGAAGATTTTACCTCTGGTTAATTCCTTATTCTGCATAAGAGAGAGCTGGAATCAATTCTGCTTCACAGGTGAACAATCCTATAAGTACACACCAGATGAAGCATTAACATCCAGCCTCATTCACATCTTGGCAATCTCATTTTCTTGACTAGATCTGCATGGGCTTAACTGATTGCAGATCCCAACCCTTATAAATCAAAAGCATGACATACAGACTGCCTGGTGCCTGGATATGATCTAGATACAAATTTCAGGCAGAACCTGCAATGCTGGATGCATGTTAGCAGCTACCACTGCAGGTTGCAGTCTGGGAACAGCTCTCTCCAAGGCAGGTCAGCACAGCCATGCTGGAATTTACAGATGCTTTGATAGCAGAAATTGTTACAATAGTTTGGACTAGGGAATGTATGGGGAGAACTAGTACTATTGAAGGTAAATCATGACTGCTAACTCTTTCATCTGCTTCATACTTCCTCATACATTGTATATATTAGGGCATGAACTTCCAAGAAGTCTTGCTCTTCACTTTGTGCCTATTTGCCCAGAAAGTGCAAATGCACTAATGAAGGACAGGATTTTGTGTTACCTACCATCCTCTAGTAATGGCAAAATTTCTCATGGGATTTTGCTGTTCTTATTTTTGTGGAGGTGGACCCTATTCCACAAGTGGGTTAACTGCTGTTTCTCAACAGTTAAAGGCAGAAGACAGGA